ATTCCGGATTATGTACGCAATGCCTTTGATGAAGCAAAAACGAAGTTTGGCGGCAGCGGGCTGCGACTCCCTGATCTGATACGAATGTTGAAGATCGCTATTTCTTCCGTACCGCAAGTTTCCGTCTGCCTCGATGCACTGGATGAATGCTTGCCGAAGCATCTTCCACAGCTTCTAGAGTCCCTAAGAGATATTGTTCGGGAGTGCCCGGGGACAAGAATATTCTTCACCGGGAGGCCTCATGTCAAAGAAGATATCGAAAGATATTTTCCCAGGGCGGTTATTTTACCTATTAGCCCAAACACGGACGATATCATGAGCTACATAGAGATGCGGTTAGCTAGGGATACGGAGCCAGAGGCGATGAACGAGAAATTGCGGGTGGATATTATTAGAACTATCTCAGAAAAGATATCTGATATGTGCGTAGTAACACTTTATCATTTCTCCACTATGAATAATGTGTACTTACAAGCGACTATGTGTAGATTCCTGCTTGTCTCTCTAAACATGGACGCCATTCTAGGACAGTTGACAATTCGGCAGAGAAGGAGGAAGCTGGAAGAAATGGCAACGGGCAATGGACTGAGTGATGCCTACACCGCAACTCTCACTCGACTGAAGGCGCAGAAGGGGGAAAAATGCCTACTGGGAATGAAGGTTCTGATGTGGGTGTTGTATTCAGAACGGCCATTACAGGCCGAGGAGCTCCGCCATGCATTGGGAGTGGAGCTAGGATCAGAAGATCAAGATGCAGAAAATGTTCCGGCGTTACGGACACTTGTAGCATCTTCGCTTGGCCTAGTCACAGTCGAGGCATCTTCATCCACTGTCCGACTTGTGCACTTTACCCTTCAAGATCACCTCTTGAACGATCTTACACTATTTCCTAGCCCCCACTCAACAATGGCGGAGGTTTGCTTGACATACCTCAACTTCGGAAGTGTCCGCTCTCTATCGCCCACTCTCTACTCGGCCCCATCAACAATGCCCCTTCTAGAATATGCCTCTTGTTACTGGGGGAGGCACGTAGCACGGGGAGTGACGGACAATGCGAAAATACTTGCACTTAGGCTTCTTGATAGATTTGATGAGCATATATCTGCTCAGCTATTGCTTTTACGCTCTAATCTAGACAGGGACTATTCCCAATATTTCAACGGGATTGATGGACCTGTTGGATTTACTGGACTACACGGAGCAGCATTTCTGGGGATTTTGGCCATAATTCCTTCTCTATTGGAGATGAAGGATTGGGATGTTAATGCAGCTGATGGAATGGGTATCACGGCTCTCATATGGGCGGCCAGGAACGGGCATCTAGGAGTAGTAAAGATACTTTTACAACAAGAGGGAGTCAATCCCGACCAGCCAGGCACCTGTGATGGCCGAACGCCACTCTCGTGGGTGGCTTCGAACGGGCATGAGGGGATAGTAAAGATGCTTTTGGAACGAGAGGGAGTCAATCCCAACCAGGCAGACACC